CAAGTTCCTCGTCATATGTTCGTCCGTTCTTTCTTTCAAGCGTTTTTCGCTTCTGCCAACTTCTTGTCTGTTGCGGTTTATTTCTTCCCGCAGACTTTCTCTTTCAATGTGAACTGCTCTTTCCAGTTCACTCATCCTTATCGACATCTGTTCATTTTGTTCTCCTAAACTGCCCACTATGTTGTTTAAGGCTTCCTCTAGTGCTGCCCCGTTATCCATGAGTGGCGTCACTAGTGGTGGTGTAACTCTGTCGGTCCCAGGTAGCTTCGTGCTGGTAGAGATCCGGGCCTTGACTCTCTGTCTTGACGTTTTATCATTATCTATTTCAGGATCCGCTAACGCGTTGCCAAGCCCTCTGGTTCTACTCTCTTCAGGTTGTGGCTCCGAACTTGTCCTAATCGCGAAGTCCTTGGACTGGCCCGGTGTGTTTGCCTCTTTGCTTATCGTTGTCACTACACCAAATTTATCCATGGTTCCAGTCTCTCTTCCGACGTGTGCCTCACTCTCCTGGATCGAACTATTGAGACTGACTTGAGATCCAAAGTCCCCTTGCTCCTCTTCATCCTCTTCCTCCTGGGACTCCCCATCGTTTCCTGCTCCTCCTCCCATGCTGAATGGAAAGATGTTTCCGAAGGTGTTCTTCATTCTTTCTGAGAACGATGATGAGGTTGTTTGTTTTCCAGTTCCGCTTGCCATCATAGTGTTGTCTGTCGGAGATCTTCTAGTTGCCGTTACTTCAGTTGAGATGTCGGACAGTTCCGACATCTCCTCTCGATCCAACGTCCCGGTGGAAGTGGCAAAATCATGGCCTTGTTCTACCGGAGTAGATTCACTCGCCAGCCTTCTGCCTCTCCCTTCCAGTCCATTTACTCCCTGGTTGTCGTTCATGGTATGGTCCGTATTGACCTCCACTTCTAACAGTTCTCTTCGCTCTTCTGAGGTCTTTTGACTTCTCGTTTCAACCATTCTGCCTGAAACCGTCCCCTCTTTATCGGACCGGGTTCGCTTGATCCAATCCACAAAAGGATCGGTCATCGTTTTTCTTTGCTTTTCAGGTATGAATTTCCTAGAGCTATTACCTCGTTTTGGTATCCTTGACTTGTCTAAACTCATTCTTTATTTGTCACTTTCCTATGCCTACTCTTGACTCAATTGCAAGAGACCTTATAGTTTTATTAACAATAATAATGACACAACACAATAAATTTCACCAGATTCTATTAAATAGTGACCACGAATCCCTGTATGTTGTCAGAGTACAGTTTGTATAAAATTTATTCACACTAGCCGATTATCGGTCCAAAGATCTGGAAACTAGCACAATATGATGTTATCAGTCAATTTTAAAAGATAGTGTACTCACTACCCAATCAAGCACAGTTTAGGTTGATTTAAAATCAAAAAACAAAAAATATATATTGACACAATATGAATGTATATATAAAAAAACGTATGTGTCTTGTACTCTTAGTCGGTCGCAGTACAATAGTCGAACCTGTCTTTTAAAGAAAAAGCTTTCCCTGCTTGGTGCTGCACCAAACAGACAAAACTTGAAGGCAGTTATTCGCTCAAGTGGGCGTCTATTGCACCCACCGAGTATTGTGTTACCTATCTGCCTTTGGACTGCCCGAGCTAGACCTACTAAAATCCTCAGGGCAGTCACTTTTCCCAAAAACGTATTATGTTTCAATCCACACCAATGAGTCACGCTCTTTTTAATTTAGACTTAGTGTCGCGAATATCCGAGTTCGGACCTGTTTTGTATTAGTCTGGTTCTTTTTGAGAGGCAAGTTACCAGTGCAGTCACTGATACCTAGCCTGTGTATTAATAACCTAATACCTCTCGCTTTTTAGTCTTTCTTTCGTTTACCAAAGTCCTTAATAAAATGATACCCCTCCGGATTGGCACAAATAGGACCCTTCCGGACTGTCAGAATATAGACCCCTCCGGATTGGGACCCCTCGGAATAAGCAACTATAAGACCCCTCCGGATTCGGACCCCTCCGGTTTTGTGGAAAGTAGACCCCTCCGGATTCGGACCCCTCTGACTTTGAAAAATTTCGACCCCTCCGGATTGGGAGCCCTTAGCTCTGTCAAAGTAGCTTTTTGTAGTTTTCTTAATTTCAGCTTATACCCCTCCGGATACGTTCTGCGTTGCTTTTATGCTGTTTGAATTAACTGGGAAGGGTATAGGGTCCTTTCCTAGACCCCTCCGGATTGAAGTTAAGGCACTTATTTGACAATTCACACTAACGGTGAAGGGTCTTATCACTTGCCTAACTTCGACTCTATTATGGTTGTCTTGTGCCTTCAGCCTTCCCTTTTTGTCTAGAACTGTCCTAAGTTACTTAGTTCAATCGCTATCAACTTTTGGTAGGGGTATAAGGGTTTTTCAGAAAAATTTATAAAACGTGAAGGGTGTACCCCTCCGGATTTGTGTAATTTGCTAAAAACAATCTCAAAAAATTTTCTCGCTCGCTTTTCCGAAAAATTTCTAATCCTATTAGTAAGCTCAGCTAATTTCTGATCTATTGGTACCAAGATCAACTCGATATGATCAGTAGTTCCAAAGTTATTAACCAAAACGTCTTTTTTCCGAACTCAAAAAATTTTCTCTCTTATAGGTTCCGCCTAACTTTTTCCGCAAATCTGGTCCTTTCGACCTACAAATTATTGATCCGAGCTCAGAAGGCCTATAATCTTCTAGTTCAATGCAAAAGATCCGCTCTAAAACGCTATTGTAGAAAAAATTTGCGAAAAACTATGCTACCTGGACCCCTCCGGATTGATGAATCCACCAAATCAAACACGTTATGTTCGATTTCTCTGCAACCCGGAAGGCTTTCGGGTAGCGGATTTTAAGACTTGTAGATTCACTAGTGGACGTTGTCCGAACAACTATTCTTACTGTCCTAACTCAAAGATTTCAAAAAATTTTCTGATTTTATGGTGTTTCTTACTATCAAAAAATGGGAAAATTTGGGTTTTTGTACCAAACTAGTTCCAACCACTTCCGAACTAAAGTTAACCGGTTCTACTTATTACAGTAGTGCAGTTACGATGTAACACACTAACTTAGCGCTTTTTTCCGTTTCAAAAGATATCGATATCTCAAAAATCGCGACTTGTGGGGGGATCAAAATATCGCTATTTTGACCCTAAAAACCGGTCTGTTTTCGTTGTTTTTGACTGAAAATCGATATAAGACTATTAATATAGGCTATATCAATAATAATATTAGTAATACTATACCCCTCCGGGTTTGTTTACTATCCGAATTAAGGTGCTTAACTCGGATATTCGCAGTTCGGTGAAGGGTCACTACAGTGCAGCACTGTCGAGCCCCCCACAGATTACTATCTTACTTTTTGTACCAAAAGGGATACAAAACTTGTTAACGATACCCAACAGTCGATTGTTGTTGTCGTTGAGCCCCTTCTTGTTGCTCCTTGAACTGCTTGCCGGATCGGTCTTCACCCAAGACCCTTCCGAATTGAGCGCAAATCAGCTGACCCTTCCGGATTGAGCGCAATTTATCATTAACGTGCTTAAATGCTCAAATAACCCTACAGTACAAGCCTCACAAACGGGCCTCAAAAATGATCGTAACGATCCTGACTGATATAAATGCCTGTAACAACAATATATCTATCAACAACAAACGGGGGGGTTGAATCACATCTTGTCTGGGGGGATGATTTCTACTGATTTTCTACTTTTTTACTGTTTTTGGTTTTTTCGGTAATTTTTTATGTTTTTTGTTTTTCTTGGGTACTATGCTACTTTTTGTTTGGTTTTACTTATATCTTTCAATGTTTTTGGTCACAAACCACTCAGGGGACGAGGGGTTCGCGATTCCCCCCACCCTTCCTGGTTCATGAATTTTCGGTCTTAACTAGGTTAAAAAACTATTCACGGCAATCCGGAAGGCTTCCGCGTTCCGAACTACCCTTCCGCCCCGGCAGTTTAGACCTATTAAGGGCGTTAATGTGAGCATCCGCTCGGCGCGGAGTGCTCGTTAACGGTTCCGCCGGTCATGATGTTACGAAAGAATAACACCCAGGAGCGCCATAAAAACATACATGTAACATTCGCCCGGAAGATACATATCGACGGATAACAAAACTAAGTCTTAAGACGACTGGCTAGCGTCTAAACAGAGCTTTGCATGTTTTTCACCGTCTCTACCAAGCCAGTACTTTTCGGTGGTCTTTCTTACATCAGGCTGACAAAAACGTTACTGTTCTCCGGCTTCGACCAGAACGCTCAAATTAACTGAATTACATGCAAAATTAGTGAGCTCATGGCTGGGTCTCAGTATCCCCAGACCACGAGGTCACTCCTAAAAACAGGGCTACTACTTATCATATTACTATTGTTTTTGTTCAGTAGATAAAAATCATCATCTCCATCGAAGATGGATCAACCCTTTCCCCCAACTCCTAGCACCTCATCCTTGTCAAAACTAATCAAAATATCAGTTAAATTCAAGTCAGGACATGACAGGATGCTAAAAGTTTATGTGAGTTAATAAAAGTTTCCGTCCCGAGACCCTTCCGGATTCTTGAATCCGCCGAATCAAGCTCCTTACTCTTGATTTCTTGCTAATCCGGAAGGCTGGTTCTCACCCTTCACCGTTGTTGGCAACGGCCTTGCAACTATTGTAGCAGCACAATAGTTGCAACTCGGAGCGTTCTCTGCTATTCTGTAGTTCGTTGTCGTTTTCCAATCTCCATTTTCGTACTGTTCGCAATCGCAGATAAAAGTTGTTCTGTTTTTTACTCGCTTTTTTGTTAAAATGGCCGTTTCAGCATTTCTCAGTCATCACTCGAATTTTTGAAAATTTAAAATACTAGAATATTCTAGCCCTCACCGTTTGGCTAAACGTTCCAATAACGTCGCTAATCCTTCGAAATCATCAACTCGGAAGGCTTACTGCTCAAAATTCGAATCCTGCATAAATTGCATTTTGGCCATTCTGGTCGAATGTCACAAGCATTCAGGTCTTTGTCACTTCATTGTCATTTGGGCCCGTAGTTGATTTACAAGCTGCTGCCCAATGACCTGCTTTGCCATATTTATGACAAGAATCATTTCGGGCCGGGCAGTTTCTACGCATGTGGTTGCCATTCAACCCACAGAACTGACAGCTAGACCCTCTACGCCCGGAGGCAGTGCTTTGTTTATACTTTTTAGCAGGCTTGTTGCTGTTACGAACCGCATTGAGTACTTCGCTGTTTTCTTCATCGACCTCTGCGTAGGCAAGTGATGAGGTCGCTTCGTTGTTGTCAGTTTTGAACTGACGTGAAAACTCGTTTGAAACTTCTACTGCGCATGCTACTGATATGCAGTGCTCCAACGTCGCCTCAGCATCTGTAAGCTCGAGCAAACGCACCCGGATCATATCTGATTCGACGCCAGAAACTAAAGCATCTCTGAGAAGAGCATCTTGATGTTGTTTAGCAGTCATCTTCCATTCGCACTTTTGAACTGCTACCTTCAAGCGTTTAACAAATGCGGTTACGCACTCACCGTGCTTCTGTCGACATGTCAGCAATTGATGCCTTTCGTACAGGACTCTTGTCGGTTTCTTAAACTGGCGATCAAGATTGGTCACACCTTCATTTAGTGTAGCTGCTTCTTCTAGAAGAGAAAACAAATCTGAACCGGCCTGAGTACGTAGATGGATGAGTTGATGACCATCATCGGTAATGTCATTGATAGCCAGTCCATCGGTGAAGCACTTTCTCCACCATCGCCACTGCTCGGTCGTCGGGTTTGCTGGAAGCTCTGGTGACTTGAACTTCATTGTTGAATAAAATTGTTGGAGGAAACGCCGCTTCTTTATAAAGCTTTTATTCAACAATATCTGAAATCAACATTAACATATAACAAATATATAACAGTTACCAATTCGGTTGTAATTCCTTCATTACAAAGCGACAGAGGAAGTCGTCAATGGGTTTTTTTTTTCATTTTCCGTGGTTGTGTATTTTTCGGGTTAACTTAGTTTGGTTTAAAGTGGGCAAATACTCACGTGTTCAAAAATTTCAGGTTCAATGCTGATCTAGCAATGCCATTTTTAAATTCTGTTATCAGCTGGCAGTGCCCAATTCTTTCAACAGCAGTTCTTGTCTGTGTAAATTATTTGCTGGTGGAATCTGTTAACAAAGCAAATTGGCTTGTTCAAGTATCACTGTGTATTCTGGCAGTTGTCATTGTAGATTACTATCATCGGCTCACTTTATTGCAAACAAAATACACAAAACTTCTGCTTCGTCTTCCTTTTCTTGTTCATGGCAGCAGATGTCAAGGCGAGAGTCAATGTCACGATTTCATTGGAGATTTACCCTTTTTCATTTATACATTTCTTCGTTCAATCGGTATTATTTTTTCTTATTTCATCCCTGATGCTATCCTGATATACGTGATTGTGATCATTTTATCGGTTTTTGGACTGACAGTTGAACATTACATATCATTCATGAACATGCTAGTTATTTTTGCTAACGTTTTGATAATAATCGGCGGTTTACATCGGTTGGATTTGCTGAAATACTTCCTTCTTCCACTCAGTTATTTTCACAGGTTGTGTTACTCTTATCTCGAAGCAGTTGCGGCTTCAGCCAATGACTTAGAAGACAAGTTTGTCCAAGAGTTGAACGGTGATTCTACAAAAAATTCTTCAAATGGAAGGTTATGTCTTTTAAACGATGCAATGGCCGAAATGTATCTCCCCGAGATCCTTCAACCGCAAAGGGCAAGTAAACAAGCCAGACAAATCGGACTTTTTCGAAAAGCGACATCGGCCAATAACCTGGAACCAGAGAACGACTCGGACTGTGATTCGATCTTGATAAACCGTAGCAGAATGCCGTCACCATCTCAATCATATAGCTCAGCTGAAGATGTTGCACAAATCGAGGAATCGCTTTTTTTCTCCGAGGAGGATGAAGTGGCAAATGCTTTCAACGCATCCCTAATCATGGGTTCAGGTGACACTCGATCTATGGAAACGAGTAAAAAACTGCCGAATGAAAATAAATCTTTTTCGAGGGACAGAAGTGTGCATAGAGGTCATTCGGAACTCGAGAGTTTTGAGTTTGTGTCACACGATTCCTCAGTTGAAGACGATACTCAGCCAACCAGCCAACAAGTTGATTCACAGGGTCCTTATGTCTATTGCAACACGAGATCGCGGTCAAAGATAGCATGAAAGATTTCATTGTTGTCCTGCGCGATCAGAAATTTTATTTTACGCAAAAATTAATAAATGAATAAAAGTTTAAATGACTGTCTATTGAATAATAAAATGACTATCTATATATTATTTGATTGAGCGAGACATCTCCAGCCATGCGTAGGATGTCCCTATGTTGACGTGTTTAAGAATTATACGCTATCTCTACACGTTTTAGCTACAGTCTATACAAACATAGGGACATGACACACTTAGTAGAAGCAGTAACCGTAACGCAAACAAATTCAAGAAAGTTAAATGCATCGGCTTCGAGGGCCCACGACTTGCGAGTTTTCTGGTCATTTTTAGTTCGGCAGAGGATTTTTGCAGGAAGAAAAATGATTGCCCAGTCGCAACTTTCTTTGCTTGACAGCGCATGACCACGAAAGGATGTGTACTGTTTTTGTCGTCAAGGTAGCCTTCTGCTTAAAGCATTTAAAAGTGAATTAATTAATGCTATTGTTTTTAAAAATTGTTCATCTAATTTTCGCCCAGAACAACATTACATCTTTAATAGAATGACTCATTATGTCCTTTTCATTGTGTCAAACGTTTTTTTGACATTTTAAAAATAATTTTCAGTTCAACTTTATGAAGCCTTCCGCAGTTTCACTTTCTTTCTACTAAAGTCTTCACTAGTTTTTCAAAGACTTTTGAACTGTTTTTTTTTTAGTTTTTTCAAATGAACTATTTTTTTTTCATTTCAAGAGGAATCTCTTTAGAAACGTTTTGTTTAAAATAGCTTTCAATTGTTTGTCTTGATAAATTGTTTTGCTGCATTAGTTTTTTCTGCATTGGTTTTTCTACTCCTCAAAACAGCTGTCCAATAGTCTGTTTCTTACAAGCAAGTCAAAGACGTCTTCTTTAAAAGCTCGGCGTTTTTTACGCTTGCGATTAGCAAGCGTTATAAAACCGGAATATAGTCTTTTTCGGGTTAACAATTTGCTTCATCATGAGTTCAAATTTCCATGCGTATACTGAACACTTCGTACTGCAAAGGTCTTGGGTATGAATCTGATCAGGAACTGTTTTTTTTTCAAACCTTCAAATTCTTTTCCAAAAATTTGTTGGCCTGTGATTTGTCTGCACAAGGTTTGTCGGCTTAGATAGGACATCGTAGAATTGTTTTTTTTTTGCATTAGGCAATTCACATTGTTTTTGCTTTTAGGGTTTTGAGTTACTTCTGATGTTTAAAAGTTTTCTTACTAGCCTTGGAAGGTTTTCTTCATTTTTTTGCTCAAAAACTTTCTCGTGAGCAAATGATTTCGACTAAAGCTTTATCGGCTTAGTGACTCAATTTCAATTCGTTTCTAGTGAAAGATATATTTTTTGCTCACTTCTGGATTGCACAAAATTTTCAGATATAATTTGATTTTCTGTCAGCTTAATGATTTGTCCCATTTTTTGCCGGTTTTTCTGTATTTTTTGGTAGTTTTCAAGGGCGAGTAAATAAGTTCAAGGTTTTTCGAAAAAAATCTAAATCTTCGAACATTTTTTTGTATTTTTTTACTTGACTGTTTTACTACGAAGATATATAGCGAGTGTCACACAACATTCAGAAATTTGGCTTTTCCGGCTGAGATTTTGAGAGGAAAGAGATGTTTTCTTTACATTATCTTTTTCTTGCAATCAACCACTCTTCTTATGCTTCTTATTTTTATGATGACTATTATGCTTACTATTATGGCTTTACAAAAAAAAGCTGGACGACGTAAGCCTGATATGAAGTCATTGATGATGCCATGGAATGCGTCGGTCGCAGAAGCTCAATGGCAAGCCAGTTGCCTAGAACAAATGTTCAGTTCTTTGTAGTTTGAGTTGTAATGATCCCAGAAGAGTTTGATGATTCGGTGCTTGACAGGTGTGAGATGGCCGTGGAGATTAAAGTGATCATATATGATGTTGTATAAGCGAGGAGCCCTGTACCAAAGGTTCTGTCTCTGCACTTCTGTGTTTTTTGGGAGTTTGAACACCAAACTGGATATGTTGCAAATCGTATATCTCCTGCTGCGATTGTACTGCTGGATGTAGTTAGACCAGAGGATAATTGAATCTTCTAGGATAAGTTTCAAGAATGCGTAAAAACGTATTTTTGGAGGATGAGTATATTAGGTGATACAGTGCTATCTTTGTTGTGTAACTAAGAGTAGCCCAGAATCCATTGTGGGGCTCTCCGTCGAACTTCCTCAATTGTGCAATGGTCGCCCCTTGTTTGCGCTCAGGTCAGAGATCAATCTATCTATCTATCTTCTATCTATCTATTATTTAATTGGCGTTTCACTTGACACATGTTTAAGAAGTCCCTATTTTGACATGTTTAAGAAATCCCCATTTTTGCATGTTTAAGCTCTTTCAAAGTATTATTTTTTTGCACGTTTAAGCTATACCGTATGTTAAAATGCTTAAGAAGTTTCATTTGGCACATGTTAAGTCTGTTGGTCTGTTAAAAGGCCAAAACATTGCAAGTTTGAAAATTTTCTATATACATACATTCTAAACATTCATATATAGTGGGGTGCTGTCAGGGTACAATTAGGGGTTGCAAATCTGGCGTCCAAGTAGGACTGCTCAAATCCTTTTGTTTTTCCAGATACTGCGTTTTTTATGATTTTTTTTTCATTGTTTTTCAAAAAAAAAACGTAGATGTAAAAAAAACTAACCGATCTTGAATTTCTCAACCTTTAAGTGAGTTGCTGTCAGGGTACATTCAGGAGTTGAAAATCTGGCGTCGAAGTATGACTGCTCAAATCGTTTTGGTTTTCGAGATATGGCATTTTAATGAGTTTTCTTATTTTTTTTCCAAAAAAAACTAAGATATAAAAAACTAACCGAAGTGAATTTTTCAATCCTATAGTGGGTTGCTGTTAGGGTAGAATCAGGGGTTGCAAATCTGGCGTCCAAGTATGACTGCTCAAATCTTTTTGGTTTTCAAGATATGGCGTTTTTTATGATTTTTTTCTGTCTTTTTTTTCAAAAAAACTTAGAAAAAAACCAACAGAACTTGAATTTCTTAACCCTATAGTGGGGCGCTGTCAGGGTATATTCAGGAGTTGCAAATATGGCGTCTAAGTATGACTGCTCAAATCCTTTTTTTTTGAGATGTGGCGTTTTTTATGATTTTTTTTTTCAAAAACTAAGATATAAAAAACCAACCGGACTTTAATTTCTCAAGCTTTTAGTGGGTTGCTGTCAGGGTACATTCAGGAGTTGCAAATCTGGCGTCCAAGTATGACTTCTCAAATCCTTTTATTCGTCGAGATATGGCACTTTTATTATTTTAATTTTTTTTTTCAAATAAATTAGATATAAAAAAACCAACCGAACTTTAATTTCCCAAGGTTTTAGTGGGTTGCTGTCAGGGTACATTCAGGAGTTGCAAATCTGGCGTCCAAGTATGGCTTCTCAAATCATTTTGGTTTTCGAGATATGGCGTTTTTTGTTTGTTTTTTTTCCAATAAAACTTAGATAAAAAACAAACCAAGCGAACTTGAATTTCTCAAGGTTTTAGTGGGTTGCTGTCAGGGTACATTCAGGAGTTGCAAATCTGGCGTCCAAGTATGGCTGCTCAA